GGTTTGGGTATACCAAGGTTTAATGACTCATCTGTTGAAGGAGATTTTGTTTGTTTCTATTTTTGGACTATTACCAGCAAAGCTGCTATGAACACTCATGTATAGGTTCTTTTGCTTTCTTTCTTTCTTTCTTTCTTTCTTTCTTTCTTTCTTTCTTTCTTTCTTTCTTTCTTTCTTTCTTTCTTTCTCCTTCCTTCCTTCCTTCCTTCCTTCCTTTTTTTCTTTCTTTTTTTCTTTCTTGGTGGAGGAATACTGGGGATTAAACTCAGGGCCACTTGACTACTGAGCCACATCCCCAGGCCTATTCTGTATTTCATTTAGAGACAGGGTCTCACTGAATTGCTTAGAGCCTTACTTTTGCTGAGTCTGACTTTGAACTCCTGATCCTCCTGCCTCAGTCTCCTTAGCTGCTGGGATGATAGGTGTGCACCACTGTGCCTGGCTCATGTATTGGTTTTTATAAGCTCATTATTCTCTGGAATGAATGCCCACAAATACAATTAAGTGTATATTTATTTTCTGAAGAAATTGCCAAACTATATTTTGCAGAATGGATGTACTAACATAGTTTTTCATAAGAGAATCAGAGGAAAATAAAAATCTGTGTAGAGTTGAAGAACGCTGTCATACACTTCATTCCACAGGCTCCTGAGCTGGGAATCATCTAAGATTCCTGTTTTTCTCGTGTGTTCCATCCATTCTAGACAAAACCCTTTGGTTTGACCTGCAAAATACATTTGATTATTTCTCTGTACTTCTTTAGCTTACCACCCACAGGCAACTCACCATCATTGCTGGCCTGGACTTTTGAAGTTACCTCCTGTATATGTTCCTTCTGTTTCTATTCTTGCCCCATAATCTCTCCCTAGAAGCCAGAGTGTTCCTTTTAAAGTAAATAAAGTCACACTGTTCCTCTGCTCACATCTCTCCAATGCACATAAAATAAAATCCAGAGTCCCTGCTCTGTCTTTCAAGGCCTTTCTGATGAGGCCCTGGCCTGCTTTACCCCCACTTTACTTCCCACTAGTCTGCTGTGGCCTGTTGTCCTAAATTCATGTTGACTGCGAAGTCATTAGGCTCCGTCCTGGGTCAGTGTCTTCATATCTGCTTTCCCACTGCTTCTAACACTCCTTTCCTTTCCCCCAATTTCAGACAGGTCTCCACCTTTTCAGAAATTCCTCCCAAAGCTAACTTACTATAAAAATCATCCCTGTCCCAATCACCCATATTCTAACCTTTGACCCTCTTTCTTCACTATTCCTATCAAGAATTGGAATTGTGTTTACTCTGGTTTTTTTTTTTTCCTTTTCCATCAGAATGTAAACTCCGCACAGTGGGGCCTTTGATTGTCTTTTCCTACCTCTACATCCTCAATATTTTAATTGTTAACAGCTCTCCTCTCAATCTCAATTTGTTATTCAAACAAAAGAAGTTGTCCCAGCTAGTCATCATGAGGATCTCTTGTCCTTGCATCCACCCCAAATAGGTGTCTGAGGAAGATACCTGTCAGGTAGCCTGGTCTCAATTCTTTTGTGAGAGCCCTCCAGTGCTCACCTGTATTATCCCCTTGGGAGTGCACTAGTTCCTTGCACTGGATTGCTCAACCCTACATCTCTCAGTTGGCCCATTAATACAATTTCCAAGAAGTTAGTGGAAATACCAACAGTCCTTTCTTCCATCACTTTTTATTATCTAGCCTCATAATCTACTAATGTTGAAAATTTTCACATAGAT